TACCTCAAATTTCTTGTCGCCTTGTACCGTTCTTCTCTGTATTGGACTGATTCACTGGCTGGAGAAACATTTCCACAGTAAAGATAACCCAAATGCTGCACAAGTGTCTCATTTTGAACCTTTCATGAACATGCTCTTATAATATTATTAGCATGAACCGATCATGCTTTTATCATATTATTAGCATGTGGATCATGCTCTTACATTGTCGTTAGGGTGGATCGATGATGCTCTGCACTGTAATAGCTTATTAACCCCCATGTATATTTATTAATAGTTTATTAATGGGTAAGCGGTAAACTAGGAGTCACAACTCACTGGAAAGGTGAGCTCCAATTCCTTGCGCCACAGAGCCCTTCATCAGCATCCAGGCACCTGCACTTTACAGCTAATGTAAAAACACGACAAATCACAAGAAGTATCGTGTAATCCTTCGCTCGCTGTGAAGAGTGTTTTTAATTTGAAGGAGAGGCCCCTGCATCACACTTGATTCCCGTAGAGGTATTGGCTTCATTAACAATATTAAAGATAATAAAAGGAGCAATAACGGGGGATGTCTGCGCCAATAAATTTCAGACGAGGATATTGGTTGTGTTGGGAGGAGGTGAGTTGGGGGTAGGAGGCTGAGGTAACTCAGTGTTTTTAATACTGTGTTTTAATATTGTCTGGCGAGTCTGGCGGTCAGCTGTGTTTGAAGAAGTTCCTGTGGACGGATTTAGTGTCGTTTTTGATGAAATGAGTTTATGGAAGACAAGTAAGAAGATAAAGACAAATGTTGCAGTACAATATTTCATTAGGCCAATTCCCTCTTTGTAGAGTTTTTATTGATAATTACGAGTGTCATTAAAGCTGCAAGGTAGCTGTTCACCACCACTCAAGCAAGGCTTAAACAATCATTATATATACACAATAAGTGTCATACACCTCACGGTGTATTCATTCAATATAGAGTCTGATTCAGTCATGACTTGATGTAGGTTACACATAACTTCAGAATCCAGGGTTTCATTCACTATACAATAAATATCATAAACCTTTAACATCTGTCTATTTAGATACTCATTTTAATGACCGCGGAGTACGGGCAAGTTTGCTTACTCCATGACTATTGTGATGGCAGTATGGCATTTTTTCTCCTTGTTTCATGCAAGCAATGGCCAGGGTTCAGGTGGAGGGTGGGTAGAGAACATTCTGTTTTTCTGCCCTTGTCTCATACATCTAGATAATGAGCTATAGTTCTTAATGTAGTTAGAACTATGTAGTTCCTCTCAGCAGATAGCCTCGCCTTCCGCTGTCTTCCATTTATTCCCAAGTATTCTGTCTCTAGTATGCACTTTCCATTTATACAAAGGACCCATACATACTGCCTTTCCTTCTTATGTACACCCATTGCACAAATGAACCACCTTGCCAAACATTTAATCTCTCTCCTCCCTGCTTTTACCATTTCAGAATTACATCCCGGAAATTATTCTCACTTTTATCTAAATTACTGCATCTCTCTCATCTTTCATCCTTACTTCTTTGGATCTTCAGTATCTACTTTTTTCATTTTCGATCTTTTCATATTCTTGTAAATATCTCGTATCTTTGTCAAAAGCGATGAATTTAGTCCTATGGTTAGATATCTACATTCAATATTTCTTAAAATTATCTCTGTTTCTAATACTTGCAGTAAATAATACTTGGAAATAGTGGATACTTTAAATAACCACAATGTTTCGCCCGACCATGTAGGCGCTTTATCAAGACACTGAATTGTTAAAGCCACTTTGTGAGTAAAATGTTTTTGGTTAATAATGGTACACTTACTGTGTGAACGAAATGTTGTGGCTAATGAAAGTATCCACAACATGTATGCTCTGCTTTTGGCTATGTTACACCACCTCCATGTTCCTTTCACGTTCATCTGCCTCCACATCCAGCAGCTTCCCACTTTCACTCCGAACAGACGTGTTCATTTACTCCCTGCGGTTACTCTATTTATCTCCCGACTAAAACTTTCTTAGTCTCAATAAAATTTACGAACAATCCCTAGTTTTTGTATTAATTTGATCTGTCTCCTTGTTCAATAATAATTATAATAATAATAATAATAATTAATAATAATAATAATAATAATAATAATATTATTATTATTATTATTATTATTATTATTATTATTATTATTATTATTATTATTATTATTATTATCACAGTTGTTCTGCGAAATAATTTCATATGAAAACTTTCTCCTTCACTTCTATTGCCACTTCATCATTCCATCACTTATTCCTCTTCTTTCTTGCACCTATAAACCTGTAGCCACAATCGTAGATTTTCTCTCACAAAGGTTTGAACGTGTGTGGCTCGATCCTCCGCCCCTTGTAGCTACAGGCTTATATTACACACTCTCACACTGCATTCTGAATTTCACATCACACCTCCTTGCAACCTCTTCCCCACTTTTACTGCTTATCTTTTGTTCCAATAATTGTTTGCATCTCGCACTAACAACCCATTTGGATAATTCTTTCATTATTTTCTTTTCTATGTTTCTTGAATTTTCCGTGGCAGGGAAGCCTAGTTGGGAGAGCAGATTAGTGATCATTGAAAGAAAGATCGAGTTCTCGGCACTCCTTGTGCAGAATGACCCATTATGGGTTTAGCATTTCATAGAAATCTGTAATAACTTCATTTGCATAAAATATCGACAATGCAGATCAGTCGCTCCTCAGGAAACATGCACTTCCAAATTGTGTTATAGGCTAACCTGTGAGTGAACCTTATTTTTTACTAATAATGAACACTTCTGTCACTCATATGCCTGGCAATATAACCCTCTGTTACCCTGGTTCCTGGTAGCATAGTCTCTTATACTGTCACTCAGGTACCTGACAACACAGTCTCTTACACTGTTACTCAAGTACCTGGTAACACAGTAGCCTACAATGTCGCTCAGGTGTCTGGCAACACAGTTTCCTACACTGTCACTCAGGTGCTTGGTGGCATAATCTCCAACACAGTCACTCAGGTACTTGGTTACGTGGGATACTATCTTCTCCTCTGGGAAATTGGTGTATCGTCAGAGGGTAAACTTGCTTGGGCATGCACAAGAGAGGAACCATTTAGCAGGAGCATCGAGTGCATCTCCCTCTTGCCTCGTTCCCCACCTCCTCATCACCCTCCTGGGAGCTCTTGCACCGCTGCTAAGTCTCCTCCCATGACCCCAGGATGTTCCTATTCCCTTTGGTACACCTTTTTTTTCCACAACACCTTATCAATTAATTTAATAAGAATTTCGTTTTGTCGTGGAGTTCCGTCTTGTTTTTATTGATCTCACTGTATGCTTATTTTGTTAAGTTTTCTCATCTCAACGCCACAAATGGTCTGAATGTGAGAAATGGGCAACGGAATCAATTCTTGTGTGTGTGAGGGAGAGAGAAAGAGAATATGTTTTTATGTTTTCCCTTTTTATGTTTTCTTGTCAGTAACTGCTGGAGCAACGCTAAATTGTTTGTACACCATCTACACTATATAGTTTAGTATACAGATAATCTATATAAAAAATTCCAGATGCTCCATCACATATTATTTCTTCTAGCATACTGAATATAAAGTAATTTTTAGTTCAACCTTCCCCTTGGCTTATTATATCCCCTTAAAAACTAAAAAGCTTTCAGTACCACTCTTCTCTACGTATGAGTGCACGTATGAGTGCACGTATGAGTGCACGCATGAGTGCACGTATGAGTGCACGTATGAGTGCACGTATGAGTGCACGTATGAGTGCACGTATGAATGCACGTATGTGTATATTATTGCATATATGAGCAATTTTTTGGTATATTCTTTTGCAATTGTTTGTTGTGTATGCCCGCGGCAAATGTAATCATTTCAATGTTGATATTAATACATTTTTTTCTTACCTTTCCCCTAGCAGAGTTATAGATGCAAATTGTTTTACCACAAATATTTCGTGAAATTGGGATGAATATTAATGAAATACATACTACTTTTACTACTACTACTACTGCCACCTCCATTTCCAGCCTTACCTCTACGACTACTACCTCTCTCGGACCCGTCTCTGTCTGCTCGCTTATATATACTGGCTCTATCTTTTGTGTTAATGTGACTTTGTAAATGGTCCAAGATGGACAGAAACGTCATCATAAGCTTCTGTCTTTTATGTGCGGGTTATCTGCGTATTGTTCAAGTCACGATATTTTTCCTCTTTATTCTTTTAGTGAAACAGGTCGGTGTTCAGTTAAACCCTTGGAGGGAGAGGATGCACATATCCTAGGACAATAAGCATTAGTAGTAGACTCTCCAGGTATTCCAGTCAGTTATTATTATTATCATGGAAAGACGCTTAACCCGTAGTGGCCAATTACCGCCTGTGGAACTAAAGGTAATAAGGCTCGATTCAAAGAATGGGACGATAGGTTCAACTCAGATCAAGAGAACTTCATAGGCATCAAGACACCTTGATACCAATACTGAACATCGGCTTTCAGGTTCAGAGACTGATTACATCTACTATCTTCTCATCTACTCTTCATATAAACAAACTTAGTTGTTGCATAGGTGCCTAAATCCTTATGAAGGAGCCTTCTTTACGGGGCATCTAGGAAATTACCTACAAATATATGACTGAACTAGAAAAAAAACATATCATCCCCAGCTCTGCCTATGTCCAGAAATATTAGAACGCTTTAAAACACTAATTTCGGCAAGTGAACCGGTTATTGACAGGATGGAAGAGGAGTGTTTTAAAGTTAGGTCTAAATTCGATGCTAAGGGAAAAGCTTAAAGATATACAAGGCGTCTGATGAACAGAAGCATGATAGGGGAAAGAGGGAGAGGGTAAAAAGGAAAAGAGAGAAGGAGAGAGGAGAATGCATCTTGAAATTTTGACTAAATTTGCCAACGGAAATTTTGCCTAAAGTACCGTCTAGATAACACACTATACCGTCTAAATTAAGATGAGTATTAAGAGTTGGTCTTGCTTGTCCCAGACGCGCCGAGAGTGAGCGTGTCGCTGGGCAGGAACCTCGACGCCACCAACATCAAGGAAGGAGACGATCTCTACTTCGAGTGTACTGCCATTGCCAAGCCTCCACCTCACAAGGTCACCTGGAGCCATAACGTAAGTTATACCATGATTTTCTTCCACTCAAAGCTGTTATGATCGTATTAATGTAAAAATTAATAAATTTGTACAAAAAGAACCTTTGAAAATTTACCTAACTTTATTATAATAAGCGTAATTTAATTTAGCCAAATCTAAATAAATATATTTTAGATAACTTTACAAAATTTAATGCTAAACAATCTGAATAAATATATATTTTTCGTTAGGCGAAATTATTGCATACAAAAATTTTCGTTTACCTTATTCGGCAAGAGAAGCGTTGCTATTTAAGCCAAAATCGCAACCTTTACCTATTCGGCAGGACATTTATATATATATATATAATTATATATATATATAAAATATATATATATTTTATATATATATATATATATATATGTGTGTGTGTGTGTGTGTATACATATCATTATCTCTCAGACCACAGCATGATTAGTGCCTGCATATTTGGCAGACTCCCTGGAGTCTGGCGATGTCGAGAAAGTACTGTATTTTTTGATGCCGAGTTTGCAGGTTCGAATCCTGCCGTAGACTGAGAGATAATGTGGTCATGGACCGGGCCGCGGGGGCGTTGATCCCCGGAATAACCTCCAGGTGTAAAAGATTACCACCTTTTTGGGAGTTGTTAAACATGCACATATATATATATATATATATAATATATATATATATATTATATATATATATATATATATATATATATATATATATATATATATATACACATGTCGTTCCGAATAGGTAAAATTTGTGATTTTTGGCTTAAATAGCAACGCTCTTCTTGCCGAATAAGGGAAGCGAAAATTTGTGTATGCAATAATTTCGCAAAAATCATTCTGAACCTAACGATGAAATTATATTTCATTGTGTTTATTATTAAATTATTGTAAACTTCTCTAAAAAATATTTAGTTGGATTAGGCTAAATTAAATTGCGCTTGTTAAAATAAGGTTAGGTAAGTTGTCTAAGGTTCTTTTGGCACAAAATTATTAATTTTTACATTAACGTAATTGAAAAAAACATATCTTTAAACGTATAAAAAAATTTTTTTAGAAAGGACCAGTTTTACCTATTGGGCACGACATTATACACACACACACACACACACACACACACACACACACACACACACACACACACACACACACACACACACACACACACACACACATATATATATATATATATGTCCATGGGGAAGTGGAAAAGAATCTTTCCTCCGTAAGCCATGCGTCGTGTCGTATGAGGCGACTAAAATGCCGGGAGCAATGGGCTAGTAACCCCTTCTCCTGTAGACATTTACTAAAAAAGAGAAGAAGAAAAACTTTATAAAACTTGGATGCTTAAATGTGCGTGGATGTAGTGCGGATGACAAGAAACAGATGATTGCTGATGTTATGAATGAAAACAAGTTGGATGTCCTGGCCCTAAGCGAAACAAAGCTGAAGGGGGTAGGAGAGTTTCAGTGGGGGGAAATAAATGGCATTAAATTGGAGTATCTGAGAGAGTTAGAGCAAAGGAAGGGTAGCAGTAATGTTAAATATCATTATGGAAGGAGAAAAGAGAATATGAATGTGTAAATTCAAGAATTATGTGGATTAAAGTAAAGGTTGGATGCGAGAAGTGGGTCATAATAAGCGTGTATGCACCTGGAGAAGAGGGGGAATGCAGAGGAGAGAGAGAGATTTTGGGAGATGTTAAGTGAATGTATAGGAGCCTTTGAACCAAGTGAGAGAGTAATTGTGGTAGGGGACCTGAATGCTAAAGTAGGAGAAACTTTTAGAGAGGGTGTGGTAGGTAAGTTTGGGGTGCCAGGTGTAAATGATAATGGGAGCCCTTTGATTGAACTTTGTATAGAAAAGGGTTTAGTTATAGGTAATACATATTTTAAGAAAAAGAGGATAAATAAGTATACAAGATATGATGTAGGGCGAAATGACAGTAGTTTGTTGGATTATGTATTGGTAGATAAAAGACTGTTGAGTAGACTTCAGATGTACATGTTTATAGAGGGGCCACAGATATATCAGATCACTTTCTAGTTGTAGCTACACTGAGAGTAAAAGGTAGATGGGATACAAGGAAAATAGAAGCATCAGGGAAGAGAGAGGTGAAGGTTTATAAACTAAAAGAGGAGGCAGTTAGGGTAAGATATAAACAGCTATTGGAGGATAGATGGGCTAATGAGAGCATAGGCAATGGGGTCGAAGAGGTACGGGGTAGGTTTAAAAATGTATGTTAGAGTGTTCAGCAAAGTTTGTGGTTACAGGAAAGTGGGTGCGGGAGGGAAGAGGAGCGATTGGTGGAATGATGATGTAAAGAGAGTAGTAAGGGAGAAAAAAGTTAGCATATGAGAAGTTTTTACAAAGTAAAAAGTGATGCAAGGAGGAAAGAGTATATGGAGAAAAAGAGAGAGGTTAAGAGAGTGGTGAAGCAATGTAAAAAGAGAGCAAATGAGAGAGTGGGTGAGATGTTATCAACAAATTTTGTTGAAAATAAGAAAAAGTTTGGAGTGAGATTAACAAGTTAAGAAAGCCTAGAGAACAAATGGATTTGTCAGTTAAAAATAGGAGAGGAGAGTTATTAAATGGAGAGTTAGAGGTATTGGGAAGATGGAGGGAATATTTTGAGGAATTGTTAAATGTTGATGAAGATAGGGAAGCTGTGATTTCGTGTATAGGGCAAGGAGGAATAACATCTTGTAGGCGTGAGGAAGAGCCAGTTGTGAGTGTGGGGGAAGTTCGTGAGGCAGTAGGTAAAATGAAAGGGGGTAAGGCAGCTGGATTGATGGGATAAAGATAGAAATGTTAAAAGCAGGTGGGGATATAGTTTTGGAGTGGTTGGTGCAATTATTTAATAAATGTATGGAAGAGGGTAAGGTACCTAGGGATTGGCAGAGAGCATGCATAGTTCCTTTGTATAAAGGCAAAGGGGATAAAAGAGAGTGCAAAAATTATAGGGGGATAAGTCTGTTGAGTATACCTGGTAAAGTGTATGGTAGAGTTATAATTGAAAGAATTAAGAGTAAGACGGAAAATAGGATAGCAGATGAACAAGGAGGCTTTAGGAAAGGTAGGGGGTGTGTGGACCAGGTGTTTACAGTGAAACATATAAGTGAACAGTATTTAGATAAGGCTAAAGAGGTCTTTGTGGCATTTATGGATTTGGAAAAGGCGTATGACAGGGTGGATAGGGGGGCAATGTGGCAGATGTTGCAAGTGTATGGTGTAGGAGGTAGGTTACTGAAAGCAGTGAAAGAGTTTTTACGAGGATAGTGAGGCTCAAGTTAGAGTATGTAGGAAAGAGGGAAATTTTTCCCAGTAAAAGTAGGCCTTAGACAAGGATGTGTGATGTCACCGTGGTTGTTTAATAAAATTTATAGATGGGGTGTAAGAGAAGTAAATGCGAGGGTCTTGGCAAGAGGCGTGGATTTTAAAAGATAAAGAATCACACACAAAGTGGGAGTTGTCACAGCTGCTCTTTGCTGATGACACTGTGCTCTTGGGAGATTCTAAAGAGAAGTTGCAGAGATTGGTGGATGAAAATGGTAGGGTGTGCAAAAGAAGAAAATTAAAGGTGAATACAGGATAAGAGTAAGGTTTATGAGGATAACAAAAAGATTAGGTGATGAAAGATTGAATATCAGATTGAAGGAGAGAGTATGGAGGAGGTGAACGTATTCAGATATTTGGGAGTGGAAAGTGGTCAGCAGATGGTTCTATGAAAGAAAGAGGTGAATCATAGAATTGATGAGGAAAAAGAGTGAGTGGTGCACTTAGGAGTCTGTGGAGACAAAGACTTTGTCCTAGGAGGCAAAGAGGGGAATGTATGAGAGTATAGTTTTTACCAACGCTCTTATATGGGTGTGAAGCATGGGTGATGAATGTTGCAGCGAGGAGAAGGCTGGAGGCAGTGGAGATGTCATGTCTGAGGGCAATGTGTGGTGTGAATAATAATGCAGAGAATTCGTAGTTTGGAAGTTAGGAGGAGGTGCGGGATTACCAAAACTGTTGTCCACAGGGCTGAGGAAGGGTTGTTTTAGGTGGTTCGGACATGTAGAGAGAATGGAGCGAAACAGAATGACTTCAAGAGTGTATCAGTCTGTAGTGGAAGGAAGGCGGGGTAGGGGTCGGCCTAGGAAAGGTTGGAGGGAGGGGTAAAGGAGGTTTTCGTGTGCGAGGGGCTTGAACTTCCAGCAGGCATGCGTGAGCGTGTTTGATAGGAGTGAATGGAACAAATGGTTTTTAATACTTGACGTGCTGTTGGAGTGTGAGCAAAGTAACATTTATGAAGGGATTCAGGGAAACCGGCAGGCCGGACTGAGTCCTGGAGATGGGAAGTACAGTGCCTGCACTCTGAAGGAGGGGTGTTAATGTTTTCAGTTTAAAAAAACTGTAGTGTAAAGCACCCTTCTGGCAAGACAGTGATGGAGTGAATGATGGTGAATAAGTTTTTCTTTTTCGGGCCACCCTGCCTTGGTGGGAATCGGCCAGTGTGATAATAATAATATATATATATATATATAATATATAATATATATATAATTATATATTATATATATATATATAATTATATATATATTTATTATGTAATATATATATAATATATATATATAATTATATATATAATATATATATATATAATATATATATATATATTTTATATATATATAATATATATATATATAGATATACATATTATTACAGCTTATTATTTTCACGATATGATGGTATTCTCATTTCACAATTATTAGTGATGCATAATCTATACGATGCTGCGCCCACGAAGCCAATATTATCTTGGAATCTATTTACGAGCTGCTGAACAGTTGGAGCTCCCTAGAGTTCCCTTCACAGTCTGTGTCATAATCGGTATTAATGCAGAGTTTGTTACTAATATTACCCTATGCCATGCTTATGCACTAAGTGATGTGTAACTCTCTTCGTATATAAACTTTCCAGAGTGTAGTCGACTGATCTCAGACCTATAAACTAACC